CCCATGAAACCATCCCCACGATCAAGATAATGAATACACCTTTCACCCCCAAAAGCCTGCTTGTGCCATTTGTACTCTGTCCCTCCCACCACTCCCCACCCCAGGCAATCACTGATCCACTGTTTGTTACTACAGATTTGTTAGCACATTCCAGAATTTTATACAAATGAAATCCTACGATATGTTGTCTGGCTCCTTTACTCAGCATAGTTATTTTGAGATTCATCAGTGAATGAACGGGTGAATCAAAAGGTCATCCTTTTTTATTGCTGAGTCCATTGTTACTGATTGAATTGTGTCCCCCAAAAAGATACGCTGGGGTTCTAGCCCCTGCACCTGTGAATGTGACCTTGTTTGGGGAAATCAGGTTTTTCTTTACAGATGTTATTAGTTAAATTAATAAAGTCATATCGGAGGAGGGCTGCTCCTAATCCTAATCCCTTCTGAGTGGCATCTTATAAAAGAGGAGAGACGCAGAAGAGAGACCCACGCAGAAGGAAGACACCATGGGAGTATCCAGCTACAAAGCCAAGGAATGTCAAAGAACGCCCAGGGCTACAGAACTGAAGGAGACAAAGAAGGATCGTCTCCTCAAGCCAACAGAGAGACAGAAAGAGAATAACCCCGCCCACACCCTGAATGTAGACTTCTAGCTTCCAGAACAGGGAGAAAATAAATGTCTGTTCTTTAAAGTCATCCACCTTGTGGTATTTTGTTATGGCAGCCCTAGGAGACTCAGACAGGATTTCCAAGGAGCGGCTGGTGGATTTGAACTGCTGACCTTTTGTTTAGCAGCCTAAGTTCTTAACCAATGTGCCACCAGGGCTCCCATTAGCCATTAGGGAAATGCATAGCAAAACCACAATAAAGTACCACTTCATACTCACTAGACAGTTGCTGTAGAGTCAATCCTGACTCATGCTAACCCCATGTGTGTCAGAGTAGAACTGTGCTCCATAGGGTTTTCAATGACTGATTTTTTGGAAGCAGATCACCAGGACTTTCTTCCAAGGCACCTCTGGGTGGACTTAAACATCTAGCCTTTCAGTTAGCAATCAAGTGTGTTAACTGTTTGCACCACCCAGGGGCTCCTCATACTCACTAGAATGGCTACACTCAAAAGACGTAATAAACTTGTCCAAGGTAAACGAAGACACTAAGAAGTACATAAGAGTAAGGGACAATTTTCGTAACAATTTTGCAGCAACAATAGTAACAACCAAAAAATATGGTGTAGTTACACAGGTAGACACGTATGCATGTATATGTAGAGGGAGGCACATACGAGTACACAGGTGTGCATGTACAGGTGTCTCTCTAGGCATCCGTATATACATGTTTGTGTGTGCTCATATATATTCATATATAATAAACCACATGGGGGCACAGTTACAGAGAGTTCCTAGACAGAATCAAACACCTTGCAGGATTGGATTACTAGGTTTGAAGGCTTGGACCCATAGCCTCGTGGGACAACTAGGTCAACTGGCATAACACACTTCATAACGTTCCACATCCTAGTTTAATGAGTAGCGTCTAGGGTCTTGTAAGAATGGCATGGAGGTGGCATCTGACCTCCTCCAACTTCACGAGGGCGAAGGAGAATCAGTATCAACAGCCCAAGGCTGATTCCTATGAGGCAGAGGTCAGACATGCCTCCTCTCTCCACCATCTTTACCAATTCTGACACCAACAGTCCTTCCCACGGCACTCTCTACTTCTTGCTGGGTGCGATAATTCATTGCAATGGCCACACAGAACTCAGACTATACTCATGATTATGGGGCTTCTCGGGGAATTAACGGGTTACAATTCAGTTTCAGGAACACTCAGGATACAGCTCTTCCATCAGGACAGCTCACAGCTTTGCCCACAGGCACGCCCCTCTGGCCCCTCAGCCTCGTCCCTGCTCAGGCAAGTGTTACAAAGCTCGTTTAGCTCTGCCAGTAAGTACCCCAAGGCTGGTAAACCTCAGCCTGAAGGCACTCAGCCCTAGCTCTGTGGGTCAACAAACTTAGCTCCACCAAGTGCCCAGAGGCACCCTGCTCTGCCAGCAAGCCTCCTACCCAAACGCATTCAGCCTTCCCGCTCTGTGGGCCAGGAAGCCCATCACACCATCTCCTGCTGGTCTCTCCCGCTGCGGTTTCTCTGCCACCACGTCTCACCATCTTCAATGATACAGCTCTCTTGTCTCCTGCTTCCAGGAGATTCACAGCACAGGGATCCCTGGTCCAAAGGACACGTTCCGCTCTTGGCTCTGATTCCTTGGTGGTGGCAAGATCCTCTTCCTCGCCTCCGGGATGGCTCATTTTAAGCCTAGCGGGATGGCAAAATTGATCAGTACCTTCATTACGGTTCCATAGACCTTATCTGCATGGAACTGCCCAATCACTTGGGTGGGAGTTACAAGACCATGGCAAGAAAGGCCACACAAAAGCAATCCATCACACAACAGGTCTTAAAAGCCTGCAAGCGGCCATCGAAGATACAACTATTGGTCTCTACTTGTCTGGAACAAAAGAGAATGAAGGAAGCCAAGGACTCAAAGAAGAAACTAGTCCACAGAACTAACACCTCATATGAACCACGGCCTCTAGTCTGAGATCAGAAACAGATGGTGCCCAGCTACCACTACCAACCATTCTGACTGGGGATGCAACAGAAGGTCCCGGATAGAAAGGGAGAGAAATACAGAACAAAACTCAAATTCCTAAAAAAAGGCCAAACTTACTAGACCAATAGAGAGTAGAGGACACCCAAGACTATACAGTCCTATGATACCCTTTGAACTTGGAACTGAAGCTACTCCCAATAGGCACTTTCCATACAAATAACAAATTGGCTCATAAAAAATAAATGATATCACCCATGAATACTGCGCTCCCTTAAATAATCAACTATATGAGAGAAAATGGTCAATGTTTACCCTAACACAAAGATGAGAGGCTAAGGAGGGGCAGGGAAGCTAGATTAATGGAAACAGAAAAAAAGAACAGAAATAATGGGAATATTGACAGATTGTGAAAAATGTAACCAATGTCACAGAACAAGTTGTGTAAAAATTGTTAAATGGGAACCTAATGTGCTATGTAAACTTTCACCTAAAACACAATAAAATATTAAAAAAAAAGAAAAAGACATGATAATGTGTTGATGAGAATGTGGAGAAACTGGAACCCTGTACACTCCTGGTGGGAACGTAAAGTGGTGCAGCTGCTTTGGAACAGTCTGGTAGTTCCTCAGAAAGTCACACACACAGTTATCATGTCGCTCAGCAATTCCATTCCTGGAGAACTGAACTCACCCAAGAAAACTGAAAACGTGTGTCCATGCAAAAACCTGTACACAAATCTTCACAGCAGCATTATTCTTAACTGCCCCAAGGTGGAAACAACCCAGAAGTCCACCAACTGATGAATGAATAACCAAAATGTGGTACAGCTGTCCAACAGAATACTGTTCACCATAAAAAGGAATGAAGTACTGGTACACGCTACACAACCAGCCTTGAAAACACGTTAAGTGAAAGAAGCCAACATTACGCTAAATCAAAGAGGCATGAAAGGCCACCTGTTGTATGATGCAGTTTACCTGAAAGGCCTAGAGTAACAAAATCCATAGAGGAAGAAAAACGGATTAGTGGTTTCCAGGATTTGGGGTAGTATAAAGGGGAGTGACAACTAATAGGTATGGAGCTTGCTGCTGGGGTCATGAAAATGTTCTAAAATGACTGCAGTGATGGTTGCACAACTGTCAACATACTAAAACCCACTTAATCGTTTTAAAAAAGAAATACCGGGAGAAAAATGTGCAAGTTTGGCAAAAGACATAAACCTACAGATTCAAGAAGCTGAAAGAACCCAACGGCATAAACCAAAGAGATCCACACCAAGACACAGGATGATTAAACTTCAGAAAACTAAAGACAAAGAAAAATCTTGAAAGCAGTGAGAGAAAAACACCACTTTGTCTACGAGGGAAAAACAAATCAAATGTTAGAGGATTTGTTGTCAGACACCGTCGAGGCCAGACGCAGAGGCACACTTCCCAGGTGCTGAAAGAAAACAACCGCCAACCTCGAATTCTCTGTTGGTGAATCTCCTTTAGGAATCAAAGGAAAACAAGGAGAGTAAGTTGAAGGAAAACTTACACACTGCTGTCAACAGACCCAGCCTAAAGAAGAGCAAAAAGAAGTTTTTGAAACAGAAAAGAAATGTTAAGAAGAATTCTTGGACTATTAGGGATGAAGAAAGAACAGAAAGAGCAAAAACATCACTAAATATGGTAGACTTTTCTTTCCTCTGGAGTTTTCTAAATTATCTTTGAGGGTCAAATCAAAAAGTACAGCATCGTCTGATGTGCTCTCAATGTATGTAGAGGAAGTATTTAAAACAATTATAAATGTGAGAGGGTAAAGAGACTTGAGGTGAGGTGAGGGTCCCACACTTCACTTGAACTGGGAAAATGTTGGCACCAGCACACTGGTGACAAGTGACGTATGTATCATGAAATACCTAGAGCAACCACTAAAAACTCTAAACAAAGAAATATACTCCGTAACAGTTAACGACATATTAGAGGTTTAAAAGAGAATGAGTTTTGGTCAAAAAGAACAGGGTCTGCCCATTTTCCTCTACTTTCTAGCTGTGTGACTGGGATCAAGTTACTTCAGCATTTTATTAAATTAAGCTAAAAGCATTCACTTTGGACAAACCAGAGTTAACACATATTAGCTATGATTATTGTAACAATTATTGTCCTGCATGTTATTACTGATTGGGTCAGTTAACCCTGGCTCCCTAATTCATTTACTTGGTAGTTTAAATGAGTATTTAAAGTAGTCTTGAACTGAGATACGTATGTATTAAGTGTTCAGATGTTCCCATTTGTCAGATTAAAAAATTTTTTTCCCACAGTCTGAGTTAGGTTGCAGAAAAGATCAATACGTTTTCATTTTTGCCTCTCACAGTGACTGGCACGTAGCATGTACTCAATAAATGAAAGTTGTAATTATTTATTCTTTGTAAATAAAGGACATAAGGTTGGCCTTTTCTTAAAAACACCAACGTGGGGTGCCAAGGCGTGAGGCGCTAGGTCTCTGCCAGGTGCTCGGCAGCGCCAGACACTGCTGCGGTAAGGCCAGAGGGGTGGACGCTCAGGTGGCGGCTCTTTTTAACCCTGACCACACAGAGCGCTTCATGCCCTGCGCAGTTTTCACGTCGTCCCAGTCCAGTCTGGTATCAGGAACCTCGTCTTCTGGCTCTGGGTCCTTTCTCAAGGCGCTCTGTGGGGAGGCAACCACGATGGGCAGAGGGCCACACTCCTCCCGGAATTCCACAACATGGAGCCCCTTCTTATCAGCCAGCTGTTGATGAGTCTCCTGGCAAGAGCAAATTAAGAACACGGGTGAGGAGTAGGAGGGCACGTGTGGACAGCACCAACGTAAAAAGCAGGAGCTTCCATGAGTCAGAGACGACAACGGACCACTGAGGGCATGTGAACACCACTCCAGGTGCTTCTGGGTCATGTACTTTGTGGCTAAATTATGGTGACCTGTCGTGGGTGGAGTCATCCCAACCCGACCTCTCCACTCCCAGCTGGGACGCGGGAAGGGCCCTGGCCTCTAAAGCTTCCTGATTAGGTGCAGTGCTGTGCCAAAAACTGCACCTGAATCTCCCAGAAGCCCTGGATCCAACTGTCAATTTATGCAAACACCGGGGAGGAACACACTAAGGACCCCACAGGTGTGCGCTCACCACCAGACTGGGAAATCCCACAGGACAAGCGACCTGGTGTCTTCAACAGATAAATTGCAAGGAAAACAGAGAAGGGATTACAGATTAAAAGAAACTTAAAAGACACAGTAAAAAACTACAACATATTGATCTTTTCTACAACCTGACCCAAACAGATTATGTAAAAGAAACCTTTCAATCTGACAAATGACTTGATTGTTATTTTTTAGGCATGATAATAGTATTGTGGGGTCTTATTCAATCTTTACCTTTTAGAGATACACACTGAATTATTCATGGATGAAATAAAATGATGTCTGAGATTCGTTTGAGGGCTTGGTGTGAGTGGTGCTGAAAAACAAGACAGGCCACAGCTGGTACCTGCTGAAGCTGGGTGCAAGGGCCGTGCGGACTCCCTACAGAGGCGGCCCTAGAAACAGGCAAATAAACTCAGCAGATGGCTGACGGACAGTACCCGACGGCACCTGATATGTTCAGGCTCCTGTTTCCTGATCTCATGGCCACCTTGTACTTTTCTCAAGGAGCCCTGGTGGCACAGTGGTTAAAGCACTAGGCTGCTAACCAAAAGGTCGGCAGTTGGAACCCACCAGCTACTCCACAGGAGAAAGTTGTGGCAGTCTGCCTCCATAAAGATTCCAGCCTTGGAAACCCTATGGAGCAGTTCTCCTCTGTCCTACAGGGTCACTATGATTGACTCGATGGCAGTGGAGTTTTTGTTTTTATACTATTCTATTTCTACATATGTTTGAAATCAGAAAAGAGGTGAGCTGTTTCATAAAAACAAAAATAAAATAATTATAAACTTTAATAGTACTTAAAACATACGTTATAAGTCATTTAAAAGGGGCATAAACACAAGTAGGTATTGCGTTATTAGTGTATTTCTTGATTAGAAGAAGGCACATTTTTTTCACATTTCAAAAGCACTGCAATCAGAGTGCATCTTGCAATCAGTGGCATGTCACTGAAACTGGGGGCAACTGTTTTCTTTTTGAGTGGCACATTAAATAAAGCGATTTTTTTTATCACCGCTAGCATTTTAGAAGAGATGATCCATGGAATTAAATCAGAAGGCTCAAGGCATGAAGATGACACACAAATATCCCATAAAAACAAGCTGACTGGACCGTAAGTATCAGCTACCTAAAACCAACATCTTAGTCACACCAAACATTCAACCCCTACCAGAAGTTTGAATTTAGAAGTGCCTTTGAAGAATGTTTAGGTGGCACCAACTCTTAAAAAAAAGAAAAAGCTAGTCAAAAAAGATCTTTTAACCAAAGCTGCCTTTTTCTTTTAATTAATTTTCCTATTTTAAACAGAGACATGTAAAATATTCCATGAATCGTGTTATTCAAATGCAGCCATCGCACTTTCTCGGAAGCCCGCCAAACTCACTAAAAGGTCCGCAAACAGAGTCCCTGGAACCCGCTCATCCAGCTCTGCTAAGATGTACTCCATCCTTTCCCACAGGCAATCCCTGCCAGCCAGGGAGAAGGGGCCCGCGCACTCATAGCCCTCCACCTGAGCCGGGGAACAGAGGACTGTGAGCTGGGCAGATGCCCAGGGCTCCCATCTGTGAGAAGAAATGATCTGGCATACTGACGTTCCTATCTCCCTATCACTCAGGTGTCGGTCAGAACTCCTACCTGCCCAGGTAATGTGAAAACAGACTGCGGCTCGACTGGAGACGGCTCCCTTGAGCGGAAAGGCGCCCAAGGTGCCTCACGCCAGTCCCGGTCCTGACTGAAAGGACTGAACTAGGGAACGGGGCCTTCCCGAGGTGCCTCACGCCGGTCCCGGTCCTGACTGAAAGGACTGAACTAGG